TCTTCATTCAGGTACAATCCTTCCCGAACGTTTGCAGAAAATGTGGATCTGACCGAGCCTATTCTTTCCCGTTTTGATGTGCTTTGCGTTATCAGAGACACTGTAGACCCTGTTGAAGATGAGAGGTTTGTTTTGAATAGGTTCTGTTCTACTAATCACGAACCACGAGTTGGAGACCTGCGCTGCTGGAGAAACGTGCGCCGCTGGACTCCTTTAGTGAATGGCACTCGACAATGGGCTATTAATCGTGAGGTGCCTGCCTTCAACCAGCCGGCTTACCGTTGGCTCCGTTGCAGCATCGCGCCCGGTTTAGCAGAATATCTGCTAGTTAGTCGACTTGAGGCAGCACAGCACCGCCAAGGTGAAGTCTGTTGGGTCCTGGTGCGAACCAAGCACATCTTCGTTGCACCGCTTCTTCCGTAACCACTTCTGACGAATGACATACCTTTTCCGACATCGTAGTCGCGCCTATGCTTCGTTGGTTACAGCAGTCTACAGGGGGGGGGGGCAAAAAAAGACATTTCGACCGAGTCACATATCAGCAAAGTTTTCGCAGCCCAGACAGAGGACGTGGATACGAGTACCAGGGCGGAAGATACCCAAGATGTTCCTCGATAAGCAGGAGCTGGCTCTCACCCATCACTTCATGTACACCAAAATATGAAGTCATCTCCAGTCGCAGCCTGACTGGAGAAGACCTTTGGAATTCATGTCACCTCCAAACAGCTGCGAAACTTCTAGTATGGAGTCACCCATGGATAGCTACCTGGAGACCAGTACTCTCGATCTGGAAGACCTCCAACATCGAGCAGCTCCGACAACGTCGCTACGGTCCAGGACATCATCTTCACCTCAGTCGCCAAGGCGCCAGTTGATGGTGGGGACCGGACGTACCTGGAATGGAAGACCGATATTTTCTTCGTGGGCCCCGGACTGAAGGTGAGCGCTGGCGGTTACATCGAGCAACTCGAGAAGAATATCCTCTCCACATGTCGTCGCCCGTACCTTCTTGGAAACTTTGTACTGCTACAGGATTGGTGCCTCCACACGGAATCGAAGGGTGTTGGAAAACGGAATGGAAGGACGTTGAGTACCTGAAGAAGACGGAATATCCAAGTGCGTCACCTGACCTAAACCCCTCAATTACCCGGTTCGGGCGGAGTTCAATAGGGTGGTCTACGGTGGCGGAGAAATCGACTATCTCGCTGATCTCAGGCACCACATCGCGGTCGCGTGCCAGAATCTCTCGATGGCGCTCGTCCAGAAGGCTGTGGCGGAGTGTCATGATAGTATTTAATATGCTCTTCAATATGGTGGTAGAAATGTCCGATAAGAATTTAATAAAGTGTAACTTATAGCGCCTCGAAAGTCAAGGAAGAAAAAGTCTTTTTTTTTGCCCCCTCCCCCTCCCCCCTCCCTGTACTTAATGGGCAGAGGTTCCGGTGCTGATCAACCTCTTTAGGTTATGTATTCTACTCTGGCCTTTAAATTTGTGGAAAAGGACATGCTACGTGCGAGTCAGTGTTTTTCCCCCAAAACGAATGTGCTACCAGTTTATCTATTAGGTCGTGGGCAAAAATAATGACCGCTTTGAAACAAATATTTCAGAATATCATAACTCGCTTGGAAGTGTTGCTTTTCAATCGAAATAACGACCAAAAGAATCAACACATTTCTGCCAACGAGAAAACACTTTGGATATTCCGGGCAGCATAAAATTCTGGAGTTCTGGATTCGACGAAATCATTGAATGCCTTTTTTGACGTCGTCTTGGTTTCGGAAGCATTTCTCGCGTAAGAAAATTTCGAGATGCTTAAAAAAATGACAATCCGTAGGGGAAAGGTCTGGTGAGTATGGAGGATGGTCGAGAGTTTCATATCCCAACTCCATCAGTTTTTTTGTTGTCATCAATGAAACATGCGGTCGGGCGTTGTCATGGAGTAGGATCGCGCCCTTTCTGTTGATTAATGCCGGCTGAATCCGATGCAATTTTTGGTGCATTTTTCGATTTCCTCACAGTACTTCTCCGCTGTGATGGTTTCTCCTGGAGCCAGGAAGCTGTGGTGGATCAAACCGGCTGTAGACCACCAAACAGTCACCATGACCTTTTTTGGTGCAACTCCGGCTTTGGAAAATGTTTAGGAGCTTCGTCGTGATCCAACCACTGTCCTGACCGTCGTCTATTGTCGTATTGAATCCATTTTTCGTCACACGTCACAATGCGTTGCAGAAAAGGATCGTTTTTGTTCCGCAAAAGATGAGACGAACAGACTTCGAGACGACGAGATTGCTGGTGCTCAGTCAACTCATGCGGGATCCACTTGTCAAGTTTTTTTACCTTCCCAGTTTTCTTCAAATGACGTGCTACAGTTCCGAAGTCAACTCCCAGCTCTTCAGCAATTTCCCTTGTGGATTCTCCTGGTTGGTTCCATCTGTGCCTTCAATTCGTCTTCTTTAACTTCGTCCGACCGCGTCCCTCCTGATCTTCCAGGTTGAAGTCTCCATTTCGGAATTTGTCGAACCACCTACGCGTGGTGCGTTCATTTGTAGTACCTTCGCCCTATGCGTTGGTGATTTGTCTTGCCAACATCTTCGCGGGTGACCCAAAATCGTAGAAGAAATGGTGGCAGAGAAACGGGAAAAAGTTTGTACGATAGCTTGAAAAATGTGCTTCCGAACGATATATTAAATTACTATATTTGCCTAAGTTTTCAATGAATTATGATCAGTGGAACGCAGCCGGTACGAAAACGGTCATTATTTTTGCCACGACCTAATACCAGGGGTAGAAGGCATGGCTAGAGCTGAACGTGATTTGTAACCCGCGGCCCTGTACGTGGTACAGCACCCTTTGTCACTACTCCACTCTTCCTTAGCAGTCTACTGCTCGCTTCAGGGTGCTGAGGAGTATACATATTAGACTGGTAGATGAGACTTTACCGTGGTTTTCACCTCGCGTTGTTATGAAAACTTTTAGGCTTTCGAGATTTGTTGTTGGCAACCATATGAAGTTACATCCCAATAGCCAAATAAATGAGGATGAAAAGAATGAGGAGGTGGGCAACGCTCGTTAAATTACTGCTTACAATTTTCACATCTATTGGAATTGATGACACATCGATCTTAAGGTTACTGTGGACGCTCGAACGGGGGTGGCATTAGTGCCCCAGGATCTTCTTCGCAAGTACATCATCTTTGCTAGAGAGAACTGTCATCCCTCGCTTCAACAAAAGCACTCTGAAAAACTGGCAACAGTTTTTGCGCAAATGAGGAAGCAAAGCATGGTGAGAAAGATTGCTTCGTCAGGTAGAGTAGCGTGAGAATCGAAAAAAATAAAGATAGAATAGAAGATACCAAATAAAAATAGTCTCAGGAGAGTAATTCATTATAGGCTACTGGTTCCGTAGCAATTACGGTACGTCACGTTGAGTCGATGATCCGATTGTCTGAGGCGCATGCTAAGCTTCACTTGAGAGCGTGAGTAGCACAAACTCCATCACATTGCTTGTTCTTATCAGCTTTGGATATGGTCATTCAGAGTAGTATAGCTCATCCTGTTGTATTACTCATTGTATTTCCAGGTTTGTGAACGACGATGATGTGCAGGCTGCGACGCGAATTATGCTTGAGAGCTTCATAAACACTCAGAAGGCTTCCATAATGCGTCAAATGAGAAAGGTTTGTTTATGCGTTGTAATCGTTCAGAGTCAGCCAGCCCCCAGTGTGTCCATGAACGAGGCGGCCTATCGCCTCCGTAAGACTGCCACGGCCTTTTCCCAGAAGGATGTGCGCGCAAATGAAGTTGCAGAGTTGTGAGAATAGGTTTTTCTTCTTCATGTCTGCGCCCATAACTCTATACGCGATACGAAAGCCGGCATGTTGCCAACATGTTCGGCGCCGGCCGAAGATGAGCTATAGAGAACAGTTTCAATCAAATGTAGAAGGGTGTAGACAAGGGTGCGCGCGTGACCATTGTTGTCATGGCCGAACGGCAGGTAACGTGTCTGTGATCTACACGTCGCCTTTTGCCTGATGGGCACAAACACAACAGGTATTCATTCACCATAACCCCTCATTTCCGCGCTTTCTCTCCGACGAAAGGGATATTCTCCCACAGCTAAGGGCCTGCTGTCTCCCCACGCTGAGGATCGACCTGCAAGTAGCTCCACAATGTCTTCCAAATAACTGCAGACTGTTTGTTACTAGTGATACCACTTTTTACATTGTCAATCCGCCCTATTGCAGACGTTCTCAAAACATCTCGCAGCGAATCGCTCATCAAACGAGTTGCTCCTGTTCATACTGAAACAGCTTGTAAAGGAGCAGATGCATTACGAAATCGCTCGAGGTAAAGGGAGCAGCGTAGGGTTCTGTTGCCATCGCCGAGTCGGATTTTATAGAGAAGGTGCGTTGCTGTTCTAATTCACTTCTGTTGAACATGCTAATCCTTTTTTTTTCTCAGGCACAACAACTGAAGATCGAAAATGTCAAGAACTTTTACTCGTCTGATTTGTTTGCCGCTCACCACTTTACCTACGATGATAGACTTAAGCAAATAACCCAAGCTATTTTCTGAAACGTTCACCTCTCCTTTGCTTGTTTTCCAATCCCGTGTTTAGATCTCAGTCTTACTCCAGCTGTTTATTCTGATGTACATTTCTTCATTTTTACACTTCATCGCATTCGCTTTCTTGAGCTACTAGAAGTTTAACATTCTGAAGGATAAAGTATTTTCTTCATACTTTCTTGGAAGGTCTAACCAGGAAAGGATGTTTGGTCGAAGTGGCCGTTCGACATGAGATGTATACCATCTGATGCCTTTTTGGAAGCTGATTACAAATCTGCATTCCATATCTGCTAAACGATTCTCTGAGCAGAGTTGTGCAGGTTTTTGACCTGGTCACCCCTATTTTCATCATGTATGTAAGGCACAAGAAACCCCCCAAATTCGCACAAATTCCGAACCAAAGGTTGCCTAGGACATCAAGAAGTAACACTACACTCATTTCTCATGGGAATATCGTGTTCGCATTCCGCATCCCCCGTCTATTTGAGCGACTGTGACGCTAGAGAGGACGAATTTGTGCAGGAGCCCGTAGCGCACGACGCAAGCGTTTTTGCGCTGAATGAGTGTGATATTCGTGTTCTGGGGATCAAATTAGCCATAGGGGCAAGTTTTTAGCAAAGTCTGAGATTTTGACCAAAATTCGAAACAGTGGGGTAACCATGCAATAGATCCCTTAAGGCCGCGGGCACTATCCTCGACTAGAATCCCAGTGGGCATTGGAGTATTTTCGCTAAATTTCAAACCTCATTGGTAACAGACGGTCCTGATCACAAGTATGACAATCACTTTTGGCGGCCGTGACATTTAGGCGCCAGTGTGGCGACACTCCCGTGAAGAAATGCGGAAAATGCAGAAGTGCGGAAAGTGCAGAAGTGCGGAATCTGCAGAAAAGCAATAGATACTTATCGACTTGAAGAAATGCAGAAATGCCGAAACTGCAGAAGTGCGGAAAGTGCAGAAATGCCGAAAGTGAAGAAGTGCGGAATCTGCAGAAATGCCGAAAGTGAAGAATGCGGAATCTGCAGAAATGCCGAAAGTGCGGCATGTGCAGAAAAGCAACCGATACGTATCGATTTTCCACACTTTTGGCATTTCTGCATTTCTTCAGATCGATACGTATGTAATGCTTTTCGTCATTTCTGCACTTTCCGCACTTCTGCAGTTTCGGCATTTCTGCATTTCTTCAAGTCGATAAGTATCTATTGCTTTTCTGCAGATTCCGCACTTCCGCACTTCTGCATTTTCCGCATTTCTGCACGAACGCAAGCTATGAATGCGACCTAAGAATGGTTTTAAAAACTGTAGGGGACATTGTCGAAAATAATGCAAAACAACTTTCTAACCAAGTATTCGAACCATTGAAGCACAAACATGAGATCGATCACTTACCCACGAGACCATCGCAACTCTTTTGCTGCTCAGTCACGCCTATGCTTATGAGCATTGGCCGGGTTGAACCCTACAGTCCTAGTGGTCAGCCATACAAACCTCCATAACTTTGTTCGGAGAATCGTTTAGCAGATTTGGAAAGCAGATTCGAAATCACTGTCCAAAGACGCGTCGGTCGGTATACATCTCATTTCAAATGGCCACTTCGACCTACCATCCTTTTCTGATAAGTTTGGTGCTGTTCGACCTGGGGAGGGGAAGAACATTTTGAAGCCTCTACTGTGTATGTGTGGTGGGAACACCTCACATACAGCACCAGTACTCCACTTGATAGCCGCGGAAATGTGGCTGAATAGTAGTGACACTGTACTGTACAGTAGTGACACTAGTAGTGACACTGTAGTGAGACTGTTTGGGACTTGGCCCGCACTATCCCTCAAGTCCAGCACTACCAAAATTCCGCAGTGGGACACGCCCTGTGCAGTAGAGAACAACTAGAAGTGAGAGAGTGCAGACAAATGGCGTATTCCGTTAGGCGTGTGTGTGGCCGTGAGACAGCGGGGCGGAGCCTGGAGACGAAACCCGAAAGTCACTACCCTGCTCCGTCCCCGTGCACTTTAACCGGGGAAAATGGCACGCTACTGCAACTGCGGACGCACGGGCGCCACACTAAGAGTGCACTTTTCTAGCAGTACTGTGTACTGTGTGGGATCGGATGCATTGCGCATACAGAGGTGAAAACAAATGACCCGAAGTGAACAATCTTCAATTCGAATGACAAAAAGATGCGTACGAGGAGCATATTTGAACCTGAAAGAAATTGTTTGGGTTGATGCCGGAGAAATGGGGTTTTCAAGTGTTTCAAAGATTCCCA